CGTGGTTGGATTTTATCACAAGAAGCCTATGAACATTATTAAATAATGAAGAACACAAAATAGGAACTGGAAGCTACTTTATATATAGCTACATTTTGATGTTTATAGAATATTTCAAAACAATTATTTAAGATCTAAGAGCACAACCACATTTCACCTTTGTATTACTAAGCCATATATTCAAGGTGAGATGTTTTACTGAGAATGCCATGTCTTAGTTTAAATTGTCATGATATAATTTGCTGCTGATGGGATAGTAAAGAAAGGAGCAAATAAAGGATTTGCCTAGGGTGACACACTTCAACAGAAATTTTGGGGAAAATCCTATGTTCTGCTATTTAGTAGTCAGTTAAAATCATAAAAGCATGCTCTTTTCCAAGTCACTTTTACTAGGAAGTAGGAAGTAATAAATATATTCCTTACTTTGTATACAAGCTAAGTTTTGATGAGGTTAATTTTCTCCACTACATTAAATCTTTTATAAATGATTGAAGTGAAAATATCCATGCCAGGGAGAAGACTTCATCATGATCTCATTACACATCAGAAAACCAGAAAGTTTAAGTCTATAGCATCAGACTTTCCTCACTCATGGTACGTGTTTCATTCATTCATTGTAAACACTTTCTAGTACACACTTATTTAGACAAGCTAAACATCAGTAACAGAATAATTAAGAACACTTAAAATACAGGTAATTAGTGATGTAAATATACATCCTCTTACACATACCTAGCAGGCATGCAAAATGTCAAACCAAAGGAGTGAAGAGCAACTTTCATCGTATCGTACAAATGCTATGAAAACAAATTTCCAGGGGGTAGAAATGTATATTTAAATTTTCTACAGCTCTCTCTTTAACAGCTACTACATAATTAGTCCTCCTGCAGAGGTGAAGTGTATTTCTGAGCTCCTATGCACAACTGTAGAAATACTTTGTCCTGGAAGTGTATAAGAAAAGTTCCCCTGTGGCCACCTGAACACCATTGTTTTCATAAGAAGATGATTTTCAAGTTCTAAAAATATTTTAAGAATGAACTTTAACAAAACAGTGTACCTATGACGTAAAGACTACATATATTAGTTCCAATGTTTTTAAATGTCAGAAACCAGTCTTTTCATGAGTAATTTATTTAGCGTATGCTGTGTACCAAACTTTCATTCATGTACATTTCTCTGGGAGTGTCCTGGCTGCAGTACCACAGAGGTATGAGAGAACAGAAGAGTCTTTGAGTGGGAGCTGGGGTTGGACTATTGAGGGTGACCATTCCAAGTCATTAAAGATGATCTTCAAGTACTTATATGCACCAGATATTATCACTAGGAAATTTAATGTCGTTTACATAGAATTCCTTTACTCTTTTCCAAGTATAATTTATATTTATTCAATACAAACTCATAAAAATGTCAAAGTTTTCAGTAATGCTTTCCTGTTACTGGCTTGCCTGTTTGTCAACATTCCTTTATGTGAGGTCTGCAAGTCTACGTATTTTCACCTTTTATGACATTTTTGGAACTCATTCTCTATTAGATTTTTAAACAACGACTTCTAAATAATACTCTAGTTTCTCTAGCCTAGTATCAGATAAAAATTATCTATGCTATGACCAATTTCATTATACCAGCATATCATCAAAATTATAATCTGGGTGTGGGTTTGCTGCTGTGCATTCTGGAGTTTTTCTTAACTGACTCTGCAGAGTTGTATTAATTTATTTAGGATAAGCATTTATTATTACAAATTCCTGTTAAAAATATTTACCTAGGGCTGGGGATTTAGCTCAGTGGTTCCATCTCCTGCCTCGCAAGCACAAGGACCTGAGTTCAATCCCTAGTACAAAAAAAAAAAAATTTACTTTCACGAATAGCCATATAATAATTAACATCAGTCCCTTCAATATATTCCTTTATTCTTAGACTAAATATTAATAGGCACAGTGGAGAAACATGACAAACCTTAAATGAAGTATGCAGAAAGTAGGGAGAGGACTTATGAAGTACTAAGAATTTTATTATTGAGAATTCTGTCTACCCATCTATAATTTCTTCATCTTTTATTCTTGAAAATTACACTATGAAACCCTGCTTTCATCGACAGCTTTCTTAGTTTTAAAGATGAATTAAATGTTCTTCTCCCACTTCTTCTGTAATTCTTTGACCATCTTATGGAACAGAAACCTTCCCTGATCTTACTTTGCACTCTAAGTGTAACAAGTAATTATAAGGAATAGTCATCCCAGCCTTTTGGCATGGCCAAGTTTGGTTAATATAAGCCTTGTTAGATGATGACAATAGACATTTCTGAAGCGATCAGTTGCTTTCAAAAAGGACAATTACAAATGACAAGGACCTTCAAACTTGGAAGTAAGTCAGCTTTCTCTTGTTTATTTGCTAGACTCAGTCTGTGTCAAAGTAACTCAAGTTTAGTTTTCACTTAAATAATATTTTGGGAAACAAATCACATTAACTTGATGAGATTTCCTTTTACTTCATTCCTCTGTTCTTCAAAATTATGAATTGCCTTTCTTGACACTAAGATATCCACGATGATTAACTTGGCTGTTTACTAAATTAGTTCTTTCTAAAATTAGAAACTTCAAAGTGCTTTTATATTTAAATGACTAGCACTCCAGTAAGACTGCTGATCAGTCATTTCAAGCTAATGATTAAAAACAGCAAATGTTCTACTCTCCTTAGCTACTCTAAATAGTGTATCAGGCACAGTGGGCTCTATTTATTATCTCTGGTTTTAACATGGGCCACACAGATGAGACAGCCCAGGTTAGGCACTGTTCAGAGTTTACATGCTTCACGCAAATATCTGATTTGAATGGTTGTGGAAAATGACTATTTAATAATTAAAAAGTGTTCTTTAGTACGCCATGTTATTTTGGGATTTGTTTTCCCCAAGAAATGAATTTTGTTCTTTGAAAAGCTGTATTTTCATAATTCTGTACAGCATAGAAAAATGATGATTTTCTGAATGATTCCAAAGATCTTTTAATTATTCATCAAGGAGAATGTGTGCAGAAGAAAATTAGGGGGAGTTGGTAGACTTCATTATAAGAACCATCATTTAGTTTACAATTAATATTCTTTAAATATTGAAATCATTAATTCAATTCAGAAATAATAATTGTTGTTTTTCAAATGATACAAAACAACCATGAACCATCTGGCTTGAACAATGAATATATCAGTAGGTTGCTTTGTTAAAATAGCAGGATCTCGTATCTTTCATGACTTTATAAAACTCACATCTGAAGCATCTTTAAATATTTATTTGAGAATAACAGTGTAAGATATAAATAATTTGTTTGTTAGCTAATTGTCCTTTCTTAATTTTATTTCCCTTCTTTTACCATTCCCTACCATCTTCACATGTGAATACACCGAGGGTCATGGACCTAGGCATTCTCTGTCTCTATTCTCTGTCATCTTTTGAATACTGTATTATTGTTTGTTTTGTTCAGTTCTACTTTTGTGGCCTTAAACAATGCTATAAATGTTCCCATATAAGATTCAGACATTTTTTGTTAGATTTCTTCCTTCTTTTCTTGGTAATGATTTTGGTGTTATTATAAATTGATTTTTTTCTGTCATCTCTTTATTATTTGTAAGTTGAAAAACTATTACTTTTTGAAAATTAATTTTATAGTCTGCCACTTGAATGAATTATTTTATTATTTCACTTAACTTCATCATTTATTATTATTGTTTTATGATGTTCTATCATATCTCTAAATGGAGATTCTTCTACTTTTTTATACCTTTTATGCATCTAATTAATTTATTCTTTGTAATTGCACTGGCAATAAGAGTAGAATAGTATTTGTTGTGCCCAGATCGCGAAGTCCCCAAAGACCACCAAGGAGCTGATTCTGATGCAAACACACGAGGGTCGTTTATTCAAGCTCGAGCAGGGACTCTCAACCGTCGCCGCCGACGCAGCGGGTCAGGATTGAGAGCCCCGAATTTCAAATTAGAGGGTTTTTTATTGTGGTTACAGCAAGGTTTGGAGATTTTTCACTTAGCAGTTACATGATTGGTTGGCATTTTGCAAGCATGAACTGTATATTTCTGATTGGCTAGGCCCATCGGGAGTTTGAGGGGCGGTTACATGTAGGTTTTACGGGGGAAAAGAGGGACAAAGGTTAGTGGTCGACTGTCACGTACTGATGGTCAGCACATTGACAGGTTGTTCTATAGATAGTAGACCCGGAACGTTCATTTCCTGGGCAAACAGATGGTTGAGTAACTAATTTAGGAACTTTGCTTCGTTACAGATTGTGTCTTTTGTCCCAGAGAAAGCACATTTTAACCATTAATTTGTGAGGACAACAGAGACTAGGGGAATAGTGGATTTTAGCAAAATGGAGTCGTTTTGGTCTCACAGTATTCATCTTTATCTTGTTTCTCATCTTAGTAGTGTGAGACCAAAGTGACTCCATTTTGCTTATGTGAAACCAGAATGACTCCACTTTTGCCCAAAATGGAGTAGTCTCCTTTGTCCTCTCACATTAATGATTAAAATGTGCTTGATCTAGGACAAAAGATACAATCTGTAACAAACCAAAGTTCCTAAGTTAATTACTCAGCCATCTGTTTACCCAGGAAATGAACATCCTGGGCCCACTATCTGTAGGAGCCGTCTGTCAATGTGCTGACTGTCAGTGCTGAGTGGTCGTGACCATTAGTCACCGTGTCTGCTGACCATCAATACGTGACAGTGGGCCACTAACCTTTGTCCCCATTTTCCTTGTAAAAACCTATACATAATCCCCCCTTATCCCTGATGAGTTCAGCCAATCAAAAATGTACACTTCATGCTCACTAAATGTTAACCAATCATGTAACTGCTAAGTAGAAAATCTCCAAACCTTGCTGTAACCTCTATAAAAACCCCGCTAATTTGAAACTTGGGGCTCTCAATCTCGATCCGCTGTGTCGGTGACAATTGAGAGTCCCTGCTTAAGCTTGAATAAACGACCCTCCTGCGCTTACATCGGAAACGGCCTCCTGGTGGTCTTTGGGACCTCACAATCTGGGCACAACAGTAGTAATACTGTTCTCAGCATTTCTCTATTAAAGAGAATAGTGAAGATTCTGAATCAAAGTACAGTATACAAATTCCTCCTCTCTCTTCCACAGAAAGAAGCCATAAAATGTGAATAGAAGCTATTTATGATAACTAAAAACAAGCAAAAAGTAACCAACCCTCAAGCAAGGCTTTATACTTTATATAAAAAAATTAACTCAAATTGTATTGTCTAAATGTGAAATGTGCAATTGTACAACATGTGAAGTAAACATAGGAGAAAAATACCTATGACCTACCAAGGAAATCTCTAAAATTGTGAACCAGGTGAACCTTTTCTCTTTATATGGTTGTGTAAAATCTGTGTTATACTAATGTTACAGAAATCTTGGAAAGAAATACACAGAGACACAGAATTTGGATAAAATAAAATTTCTTTTTGCAAGTGGGCAGGAACACCAGAAACCAGTCTGGTCAGTATCCTGGCCCCTTTGTTCAGCTTTTCCCTTTTTATATCCTTTTTAACCATTATCTCATCCCTAGTGGTCTTTGATGTGTAAATACAATTCCAGTTCCTATTTACAAGTCACAGACACAAGATAGGCACATATACATTGTAAATTCACCCTGGCATGGTAACTTTGTTAGGTTAATGAAGTTACTGGTTAGAGTCAGATAATTGTCACCTTAAACAAGGAGTCAAGGGAAAAGCAAATCTTAGAAGAACACATTACTTATTTTGCTTCTACAACTACCTTAATATTCAATCTATTAAATTATCTAAAACTTTTCTCTATCACTAACAGGAAGTTAATACAGAAACAATGTAAGACAATGTAAGAAATTTTAAAGTTTCTCAAAGATCAATCTAGTTCATATTAAGTGAAGATGCAACAATTTAAGCTTAAGGAAGGGAAATAATTTAACAGGTTAAATGTTTTCAAATCTATGACTTCCTAGCAATCAAAAACATATTTATCATTGAAGGATGGCTATAAAGCAACATATTTTACAAATAGACAATTTCAAGAGAAAAAATTGAACACTATCTTATTTTATCTGTAAGCCATTATAGGCAAAGCTGTAAGAAAGGTATAAATAAGGTAAACCTATAGATAAAGCTTTATCTTTGTAAAGCCAACTCATATTAAAAATTTGTATTCCTTTGGAGGTCCTTCACTTAATAAATGAAGAAACACTAGAATTAGAACATTTCACAACTTGTAATTGATTAATGGATAGAGGGATTAGAAGTCAAAAACTAGAAAAAAAATGTGAGACAAGCTAACATTATGTGCTTGTGGATTGAAAAACATGCCCAGAACCTAAAAAGTAGTTTTGTCAAAACAAGTCTATCTTTTATCTGTTCAAGATTCTAGATCTACCAGGCAATAAAGAGACAGCTTAGAATGCATCCTGATTAAAACTAGAAAAATTCTTGATGAGTTCAGAACAAGAAATTTGTTTTTTTTTCAACAAATAAACTGAAAGAGGAGGGAAAAGCACAATGAAAGTAGAACCTATTAATGTAAAGAAACTTTAGAAGAGTAACAAGGGGTAGGCCCTATGTGAATTTCCTTCAAAGAAAAAAGTATACAGAATATTCCTTTAAGGTTGATTTTGTGATGTTTCAAGGATAATAGGTTGAACCTTGAAGATATTATGCTAAGTAAAATAAGTCAGTCATAGAACAAGTATTATATAATTCCATTTTATGAAATACCTAAAATAGTCAAAATCACAGAAACAGGTGACTTAAGGCTGGTTGCCAGGGGATATGAGAATGTGGAAATGGAAAATCATATTAAACAGATGTAAAGTTTGTTATACATACGATGATGTTTTAGAGATCCATTATAAAACATCGTGCTTATGGTTAATAATAATATGTTGTACATATACAGAAAGCAAGGCACAAAAAGTTTCCTGTAGAAATTTTGTTCTTCATTATACATATTCTTAGTAAATATGCATAAATATATTTACCAAGAAACAAATGAAGGTTCACAACACTGATTATAATTGCCCCAAGCCATGTAGAACTCACATATTTAACTACAGTAGGTAGAACTGGGACTAAGGTGAGGTAAATAAATATTGTTCTTAAGAGAAAAATATAAAAGAAGCAACAAAAATCTTATAGTCGTGATAACTATTGATATAATATTAAAAATCAAAATTAATGCAAAAACTCATGATGAATAAAATTAAAGTAGTAAATTCTTAAACTGAAATTCATATTATTTTTCCTTTAGCCTCAGGATTCAATATGGCACCACATGGAACTAACAGTACAATGAATAATACATTGTGATGTGCAATGGAATGCTATACAGCAATGAGAATGAATGAACTATGTGTACAGTAAGTAACCTCGATAAATGTATGTCAAATTCAAAATGAATGTAACTAATCTAGAATACTAGAAATCAGGATAATATTTTCCCTTGGAAGAGTGCAAGAGAAAGTTTCTAAGAATCCAGGAATATTTTGTTTCTTGATTTGTATGTTATGTGAGTTTTATACTTTGGAAGACTTCATCTATCTCTTCATTTTTAGTTTGTGAATTTTTAATGTCCTATCCTTCCATATAAAAATTTTTAAAGAAATTAGATAATTGGAAATCTGAGCACTGAATATTTGGTGATTTTAAGAGATTGCCAAAAATTTAGGTGTGGTAATGATAAAGTAGTTTCATAATTAACTATAAAAGAAACCTTATAGTTTAGATAGTTACTGAAATACTTATGGATAAAATGGTATCAAGTATAGAATTTGCTTCAAAATAAAATGGAAATTGGAAAAGTGGAAGAGGGAACAGAAGAAACAAGACTGGCTGTGGATTCTTATTTGCTGATAGATAAGTGTACTTTTTTATGCTTTCATGCATAGTTACAATTTTTATAATTAAAACATCGAAGAAAACTCATGGGATCACCACCAAGGGACTACTTTGACAGGTATAGAAAGAAGCAGTATGCCGTGCTAGCATGATGGTGAGCACCTTGCTCACAGGAAATAATCAATAAATATACGTTGACTGTATGAATATATTCACATTAAGAGTGGAGAAAGGTGGGATTAAAAACACTAGCAAGTAAATTCCTCTCCTACATTTTATTCCTTATCTAAACCTAGTCACTGAAATGAGACTTTGTAAGAGAATCATTATTGTTTTAGGCTTGTTTAAATATGATACAATGAATTGAACTTGAAATTTTTTTGTGAAAGGTATTTTATTCTTAAGTACCCAAATGCATTTTAAAATCATTAATATAGAATGTCACATGACTTGTACTTTCTGCTTTTTGCTTCCAAAAATATTGTTTTTACTATCACAGAATTTGGATGAGAACTTCTGATGTCACATTAAACACATATTTCAAAGTTCAGTATTGTGTTCATCTCTCCAGAATGTTGTAACTAAGCTATGTTATACCTCAAATGCTTTCTCTCTCTTAAAGAAAGGCCTCAAGCCATGAACAGCAATTATGCAACAATAAGGTGTTCCATTAGATGTGGAGTGTATCGAAAAAGTTTAAAGGAAAAGTATTGTTAATGAAATGAAACTATGATTTCTCAAAAGTTAGTTGACTTATTTTCCCAAGTTTGATTTATCACAAAAAAAGGAGTGATAGAGTTTTCCCTACTTCATTTGAAAATCTACTATGCCTGAATTGGGATGGATCAACACAGACATGGTGGTTCTACTACCAGCTCTCTTAGTAACAAAATTCTATGATGGCCAAGTAGTGATCATAATTGCTTTCTATATTTAGCATTTCAGAGGTACTTTAGATTTTGCTTTATTTTGTCTGTCCTTTCTTTGATCTTAGTTCCATTCAAATTCAATTTTTAATTCTTGAGTTATTACTGACATTCACAGCAAGTTGAAGAGATAATTGCTTCACTAGGTGCCTCTAAAAGCATCAAGTGGAGCAATCTGAAGAGGATCTTGTTTCCTACTCTCAGGTCCATAGGGACTTGAATGTCTCCAAACTTCTTTGTTTTTCTACTCACAGGATGAGTAGGTTAAACAACAAAAGTGTTTCTACACAGAAAATTGTGCATATATGAATATGCTCTGGAAAATAAGCATATTCTTTAAGCCTTCCGAACAAAGGCAGTTAGTGAAAATCAATTAAGCTCCCAATATCTGAATAAAATTATTTACTTCAATGATGAAAAAGTCTGATTTCTGTGCCCACTCTACCTCATTACCATTTTACAGACTAATAAAGATGTCCCAGAACAAAGTAACTGTGGCTATCCATGCATGGACCAATTCAGCTGCTGTGCTCATGCCTTCAGACCACATATTTATATTTTATAGTGCAAATTGATTAGCTTCTGTTCTATGCAACTGGGTAGCATTTCCTAGAAATACAGCAGTACTCACCTGTCTTGGTGAGTCCACCCCCCCCCAAAAAAGAAAAAATTAACATACTCAGAGTTGTACACTCTCCATTTAACTGAGTTTTCTGCTTTGACTTAAAGACCTCAGCTTAGCTTTAGTGTGTGCCCTTTCTAAGCTTTGGAGCTGACCTCACTCTCCCTCTTGTATGGCCTCTATCTCACTGTTACTGTCCATGATGTACGGCCCATATGTTTCCCAAACTCTACCTGATACATCATATAAGCTCACATACAACTTTGATGTTTCTGTCTCTGTTGGCACTGATATTTCAGAATGTCTACTGCCCATTATGGGTACAATAAATTATATTTTAAAAGTATTTACCCAAATCTTCTATTGAGTGAGGTTTCAAATGTTTAGTGGACTGATATACTGTTATAATTTCTTGAAATTTCATCTTAGGGTACATGTAGAGGATACTGAACTCATTAAAATATTCTTCACTTTATTATGTATAACAGTAGTAATTTAAAGAATATCTACTTATCTCTGCTTTTAAGCATTTTAAGCTTAATCTTACACAGCAGGCATAATAGAGAATAATTCCAAGACATCTTTACAGAGAGAATATCTTGGGATAAAACACTGTGTGTTCTGTTTCTTTCTTTTTTTTTTCTTCCTTTCTTTTAAATTTTTGTTCTTGGAGTTAGGGTCACCCTATCTAGTTCAGGGTGTCCTCAAACTCACTGTGTAGTCCAAGCTGGAATTGAATTTGTGGCAATTCTTCTGCCTCAGCTTCCCAAGTGCTGGGATTACAGGCATGTGCCACCATGCCCAAACTGTGTATTCTTTTTCATCTCACCTTTATTACTTTAATATATCAAAACTGTGTCTTTATGATGGGCGTGACACTATGCTAGATAATAGAAACTGCCATTCTCAAAAATTCAGGCTGAATTTTGGTATTTAGCAAAGTTCCTAATTAATATCCCAATATGATATCAGACTTATCAATTGTAAAGGGCTCTCACCAAAATCTTTGGATTGAAAATAATGTCCATATTTATTTTTTAAATCTCAATTTTAAAAAATAACTTATGCCTCTTTGGTTAAGGGTTCCTGAACATTTCTCTACGAAGAGTGGAGAAAACATTATATCCAAAATTAAACATCTTTTTTTTACCATCTTCCCACTCTCTTTGACGTTCTTAGTTAATGTATAAATATTAAAAAGCTACACAAAATTATTCCAAAGGTTGTTGGTTGCACGGACACAGTAGGGGGTTGTTTTTCTCTCTTATGGGAACAGATTCTAAGCACAAATGTTACCAATACCAAATATAACAGTACAGTTTAATGATTTTTTGTTTTCATTTTGTAACAGAAATATGCACTAAATATACATTACAAAATACAGAAGAACATGAGGAATAAAATGCGCTCAATTCATTTCTACGACTGTTTACCTTATGCCTGCCATGTGCTGCTGTGCCTAATCAAGTTGGCTGGGCCCACAGAGGTGAAGAATTCAGGTAAGGTCCCTGTTCTTATGGAAATTTTCTTGTATGTGGTGGAGAAATTAATAAGACAAAAGCAGACTGTAAAATCAAATGTGATAATGACCATGTATAAAATCTTAAAAGGATAAGTGGTATCAACACTACTACTAAGTAACATGGGCTTTTAATTTCTAGAGTCAGACCTGCAGCGATTTCTACCTGGCTGGCAGCGCCCTCCGGATGTGATGATCCTTACAAGGAATAAACCCACTTGCTCTGAATGCACAACCATTGTCTGGTTATGATCCTCCTAACAGTGTTCATACATCAAAGCAGCACTCATTTCAAAGCCTTTTTGAATTAAATTAAATATTTGAAGCACTAGAAAAAAATCTTCCTAAAAATAACCTATGCTTACTGAATTCCTTTCATCTAATGCCATGTTCTGACAAAAAAAGTAATTGGGGTTTTTCTTGCATGACTTTGCTCTCTCGTATTCTTGCCATCTGATTGGTTATGGCGTGGCCAGACCACTGCTTCTCATCTCTCATTTGGCATGTTATTAGTCTAAACAGAATTCTATGCAGGCAAACATTAATACTGATACAGAAAATGAGCCGGACTTTAGCCTTTAATGTTAAGTTATTTAAGAAGCATATATTTTATACAAGACATTGTATTATGTTACAAAGCAGAGAATGAAGGAAAGTATGCATGAAATTAACAATACATTTTTATATACACATTTGAAGTAAGATACTAAAATGTATTTAATTTATTCTGTTGTTTTGTTTGTATAATCACAGCTTATGCCCTTTATTTCAGCTATTAGATTGTTCCTTTCTACAGTGTCATGTCGTTAGTGACCAGGAAATATCATGAAAGTCCCACTCTCATAAAAATGTTTACTATGGATCAAAATCTGAGAGTTTGTTAGATTAAATTTCCAGATACTGATTGAAAACAATATCAATGGAAAAAGACATGTGTTCTTTTGACAGGATATAATCTTCACATTTATATATAATAAATGAGTATAAAAATGCTATTCTTTATCATATTTAGACATTTTAAGAATTCAACAGAATCATGTCTATGAATAATATTGTAAAGAGATGATTTTATTGCTATTAAAAACTGTTGGGCCAGGGATTTAGCTCAGTGGTTCTGCCACCTGCCTCGCAAGTGCAAGGTCCCAAATTTGATTCCCGGGACCAAAACCAAACCAAACCAAAACAAAACAAAACTGTTAAGTCAGACATAGGAGAAAAAATTCAAAATATGAAGTAGACATGAGTTAAAGCCAGAAATTGTTTATGATTATGGAAAATTTGTATATTAAATATAATGTCAACCACATAAAATGCATACTATGTTACATGTGTATAATATATAAAATATTTGTATATGTGTATGTGTATTATATATACGTGTCTTAGTTGCTACATCACTTATTTTCAATGATTTGATGATTTCAGGGGAAAATTTACAACTAATAGGTTTAAGTGAACAAAGCTATAATTCTGATCAGGATCATGTTATAGTTAGTTCCAACCAGTTGTAACATGACAGCTCCAGAAATTTTTTATTTTATAAGTTTACTTGTTAGGGCATAAAAATTGAGATTTTAATTACAAGAGACAGCTATGTCTTTAGCTTTAAAACAGTACTATAACAATTAGTAGGCACAATAATCAAATTTGCTTTCTGTTTAAATATATCTCCAATTCACCTTTGATGGCTTAGAGAGTTTGAAAAATTCAATAATATACAATTTATTTTTCTTCTTTTGAAAATAAAATAGAAACACATTTGACCTGTCAGGCTTGTCAACATACTAATGATGAAGTTTTTGAGTACACACGATTCATAGGTAAATATCTGAGATTTGACAATGTGAATTAATACCAAAATCTATAATAGACCAGAGATTGAAAAGCATACCACTTTTCTGGTCCAAGGTGATTGAGCAACAGCTTTACCTTTACAAAAATGTCATCATGGAACTTTGCAGAGCAGTAAACGGAAGGGGACATGGGATAGGCACCTTGCATGCAAAGCATCCTACCAATTATGGCCTTACTTGTAAGTGTCACTAGATGATAATTTTAAATGACTTTAGGGTCTTGTACATTTTTATTGATGAATGTGTCACAGGGTGCAAGTTCTGAATAATGGCACAAACTTCACTGCCCTACAAACAAAAGCTTGTAAAGAGAACTTTCAAAGCTGAGACATGAAAGGCCAGCTCAGCTTCGCTGGTCTGTCAGGAATGGCTCTTCGGTTTGAGTGTCTATGACATCCAAGCATTATGGCCTGGTCCACAGCCTTTCCCCTTATTTACTTATTTGACATGATCAGTGTGTTTTAAATTTTTCAAATTAAAAGAAAAGAGGACTAATGTGGTAAACAAACAAACATTCCCCCTAGTTACCTTTGATGAAATTATTGCTAACTGTTCTTGGTTTTTCTTTGTTTTGCTATGGGCTTTTTGGTTATAGGAAAAGCAGAATTATGATCTTTGTCTGCACTTCACTGTTATTCCTAAGAAGTTATTTATTGGTGATAATGGATACAAATATTATAATATAATAGGTAATTTTTAAAGTATCCAAGACTAAGTTTATCTTTTTCAATATTTTTTGTTATGTCTGTATCAATGACTTATTATGTAAAGTTATATAATGTTTTGCAGTATGTTTTTAATTATAGTTTATGATATTCAATTAAATATAAAGTACCTGGTTTAAAACATTACAAAATCTCAAATAATGAATTTATAGACTATTTTATTTGCTATAGTAACTAGAATTTTTTCATCAAGAAATACATTCCTTTGGTAAATAATTATGTGAAAAGCTTCAAGTGTTTTACAAAGTTTTCTACCCAAAAATCTTCCCTTGAATACTATGCTCCATTTGAACTACATTCCACATTAAAGCCAGAGTGAGGTTTTAGAAACTCAGAAATAACCATGCCACTAATCTATTTAAAATGATCCAATGACTTTGATAGCTTTCTGAATCCCGACCAACAGTCTTACCATAAAGGTCAAAGTCTTGTCTGATCTTTGAATGTTCTCTTTGTGTTACTCTCCTCCTTTGTATTCCAGCTACACTGGCTTTTAAGTTGAATCAGGCTCAGGTAATTAACCAGCCCTTCTCTGTCTACAGAGGCTTTCGATTCCCAGCTCCACAGCCATCTCTCCACTAACTGCACCACTTCCAAGCTCAGAGGGACTTCCGAAGGAATCACCCATTCTGCCCCTCCACACTATCCCCTTCTCTATCTAGGTTAAGTCTTTCTGATATTATCCTGTCATTTTTCTCCTTGGTTCTTAACACAATGGCTTTTATTAAATATTTATTTGTATTTTTATCTCTATTTCAACCTCCAGTTCCTACTAAAGTATTATTATTCATAATAGGTATTAAATACATGTAATGCAAATGTTCTAAATATATAAATGAGGTTATTCAAACCAATATTCTATGCGCTTTGTTGATGTTTATAGAGCCATTAAAAATAGGAAATTTTTCTTTCCATCTTATCATTTTTGCTCATTTAGTTTGCTGTCATGAAGATACTGTTTGCCATTTCAAATTGCATTTGATATGATGTTTAATACAGATTATATGAAATGATTTTATTCAGAGGAGAAGCAATCATAGATTTTATTTAAAAAACCATTTACCCATTCACCCCATGCTGAACCATTGATTCCAAAGTGTTGCCAACTAAACATTTTCAGAAAATGCCTTTGTGGGTATATTTGTGCTTTCGACTGATAATTCTGAAGTTGAAATAGGTGCTGCTTTATGAATCCTCCACCCTGCTCAGCCCAAGGCTAACTCTGCCTGTGGAGGGAAATCACTATTACTGTGAGAGTAATACCACTTTCACCCCTGCTGCTACAGCTGCTGCCCATTCCGATGCCTTGAGGATTGGAAGCACAGCAAATGATAGCTACCCAGGGACTAGATTTAACTATTTAGGAGAGTAAGCATTTAATTGAGGGTTCCTTCTAACTGAAATACTAAATAAAAATAGCATTGAAAAATATAATTTCAAAAGGAATCAAAGAGCTCCCCGGAATACTTATGCTAAAATATGTATCTCATGGCTTCTCCATTTCAGGTATTCCCACTTCTCAAATGGAAGAGGAGCTTGAATCTATTTCTGTTCTCTACCAAAGGCCATTTCCTCCATGATATAATGCCAATTATTTCTTAACACTGGTGGACATAATTTAAATGATCACGCCTTAATAAGATTTCTGTCCCTTGATATCATCTGTTCTTTTGCTAATGTCCACTGCACATGAGATTTTTTGGGTTTTCACCAAGCTCTCTTCCATCAGCGCTACATGATGAGATTTATGGGCAAAAGTACCATTAATATTAATAAGATTATCTCTTCGTAAATCTGATGTTACTGCTGATAGAGTAGATTCTGAAAACAGTAAAATTCTTTACATTAATTAGAGAACAAATCAAGTTATTTTGTCAAATATATAAATACATAAAATAGTTAAGCAATGAAGTAATTAACATATGAGTAATTAGTCAAAGTCATGAAAATTCTAATAATCATGATGATAAAGAATTTCAAACAATTACCCTCTTTATTCTACAATCCTGTTTTTCTTTCAAGCCAGCTGTATAGCTCACTTTTAAATAGTAAAACAATATGGCCTTTCTGGATATTGTATGGAGGAATGGTTACTACTGAAGAGTTTTCATTTGCATGGTACTCATCTGAGGTAAATCCACATGGTATTATATCTCCTCATGTTTTCTGTTTCTTCTTGTCAGGTAAAAGGGCCCAAACCCAACACCAAACCAGGCCACAACAAGCCTTTATTAGGGGAATAGATCTGCCGGGCTGTCTCTGAACAAAGGAGAGACAAAAGCAATATGGCTGGGGCAGGGAGAGTCTTTTATAGAGACTGGGGCTGAGGCGGGGTTGAGTGAGGTAGTGACTAGGGAATGTAGGAGCCGGTGATGTCACTAGTGGTAGGAGGTGAGCAAGTATTAGGTTACTCTCTAGGCGGGAACAGGGGCATGGTGGGAAGAAGGGTTTGTTCTTTGGTGGGAGCAACTATCTTGGCATGATGTCACACAGAGGAGGGGGCAAGGTATGATAGGAAGAGGGCAGCTACTATACATAATAGCTGCTGAGGTAGTGGAAGACCTATCACTTCTCATGTGAAATATCCCATGATTCCTTGACAACTTCACTTCTGAATTATATATTTGTATTTTGTTTGATGTTGATTTTTTTCTCTTGAACAATTCAAACAATTTTCTATGGCAAGATAAAGAATATAGATCTGACTACAAGAAGGCTGTCATTCGTTTGTTAGTTTTCCAACCCACATTTAATGAGCATCCATTATTTACTAATCAAGGCCAGATATGTAAAGATAAAAAAGACTTTCTCCTGCCTTAATTAAGTCAAAGAAGAGCTACAAACACAGACAAGCAAAGTAGCAGCGTAGATATACAGTAGTGATTATGTACAATGGAAGCACAGAGAACAGAAACTCCATGAATTCTTTTTTTTTTTGGTACTGGGGACCAAACTCGGGACCTTGAGCTTGTGAGGCAGGGAGCAG